TACTGATTATATGTTCCTGTGTAATGGTATAATATATATTACTTCATGGTCTACTGATTATATGTACCTGTGTAATGATATAATATATATTACTACATGGTCTACTGATTATATGTACCTGTGTAGTGGTATAATATATATCACTACATGGTCTAATGATTATATGTACCTGTGTAATGGTATAATATATATCACTACCTGGTCTACTGATTATATGTACCCGTGTAATGGTATAATATATATTACTACATGGTCTACTGATTATGTGTACAGTTGAAATGGTATACTATATATCACTTCATGGTCTTATGTACCTGTGTAATGGTATAATATATATCACTACCTGGTCTACTGATTATATGTACCCGTGTAATGGTATAATATATATTACTACATGGTCTACTGATTATGTGTACAGTTGAAATGGTATACTATATATCACTTCATGGTCTACTGATTATATGTACCTGTGTAATGGTATAATATTTATCACTACAGGGTCTACTGATTATATGTACCCGTGTAATGGTTTAATATATATCACTACATGGTCTACTGAATATATGTACCTCTGTAATGGTATAATATATATCACTACCTGGTCTACTGATTATATGTACCCGTGTAATGGTATAATATATATCACTACATGGTCTACTGATTATATGTACCCGTGTAATGGTTTAATATATATCACTACATGGTCTACTGAATATATGTACCTGTGTAATGGTATAATATATATCACTTCCTGGTCTACTGATTATATGTACCTGTGTTATGGTATAATATATATCACTACCTGGTCTACTGATTATATGTGCCGGTGTAATGGTTTAATATATATCACTACATGGTTTACTGATTATATGTACCCGTGTAATGGTATAATATATATCACTACCTGGTCTACTGATTATATGTACAGTTGTAATGGTATAATATATATCATTACATGGTTTACTGATTATATGTACCCGTGTAATGGTATAATATATATCATTACATGGTTTACTGATTATATGTACCCGTGTAATGGTTTAATATATATCACTACATGGTTTACTGATTATATGTACCCGTGTAATGGTTTAATATATATCACTACATGGTCTACTGATTATATGTACCTGTGTAATGGTATACTATATATTACTACATGGTCTACTGATTATATTTACCTGTGACTTTGTATTGTATGCCAGGGCAGTATGTACTTGTATTGATTAGCTGAATGCCTAGACTCAGAAGGAACATATCATTGTTGGTCACCTTTACTTAGGATAACCTTTTACATGTTGTGTGTATCTTCTGTGAGTCTGGGACGTTTCATATCGTGTTAATATACAAATGCTGCCAAAAGTGGCCGGCGGCAGTCCATCTCTACCGTCCACATGTTGGTGTCGTTCAGTTCTTCATTACCCTGAACCTTACGACTCATTAAAAAAAACCCATATCTATAAGACTAAACAATACAATCATCCACACCCATATCGACACACCCGTATCGACACACCCACAAATACACCCACACCCACAAATACACACACACACACACCTTCATAGTGATATTTCTTAATAAAACGCTTTCTTAAATCTACACAACATTCACATTTTAATATAAAATGAAATTCATCTTCGATATCCCCACTGTTTCAGTGTGCACATGTTCTTTCAATCCTATCTACATTGTTATACAAATGTACCTACCAATTTCAATATTTAATTTGTGAGATGACAGTCTATTTTTTGTAATTCCTTTCAGATTTGTATATCCTATTGGTTTTGTTAGATATGGTTGTAAACAGAACTTTTCGCCAATAAACTTGTACAGTGAACACTTAAAAGATGAACCTATTTTTTCTTTACATTCTTGCTTAAATATATCACACATTCTGCTTTTAATCATATTCATAATATAATCGGATGTATAGGTATCTCCATATTGCCATATGTACCCTACTCCCATTCTAAACAGTTCGTTTCTTAATCCATTCATCTATTCACTACCATTTTCTAACATTTCTTGATAACATGCATGCAAAACACAATTGTCAGTTTGTTTTAATTTTAACCAGTATTTAAAAAATCTAAATTTCCTAAATATTTCCAAAGGCAATTTTCCCAATTCTTGGTAAACCATAAAATTTGCCGTAGATTTCTTAACCCCTAATAAGCTTTTACAAAAACTTGAATGTATTTTCTCTATATCTGGTGCTTTATGAAAGCCCCAAACTTCCGCTCCATAATTACAAATACTACAGACATATGTATCGAAAACATGAAGCTGAGTTTCAACGTTTAATTATTTTTTTTGTTATAGACACGTTTGATACTGAAAACAATGCCTTTCTTCCTTGTTCAGCGATTTTTTGTTGATTTTTTTTTAATTTACCATTATAATTCATTAATATTACCAAGTAATTAAATCTATCTACAATATCTAATACACATACATCAAATTACCACCTTTATTCTTCTCTTAATTTACCTCCGTTACGGAAAACCATCACCTTGGTTTTAGAAGAATTAACCGTAAGATTCCATTTCTTTGTATAAAGTAATAATGTATCTAGCATTTTCTGCAATCCCTCAGAAGTGTGGGCCAATAACACCATATCGTCTGCATACATCATTAAAAATATCATTTCGCAATCATTGACATACAAAGAAAACGATAGAGGAGACATAATTTCTCCTTGAAATAATCCATTTTTACATTGAAAAAATCTGACATGTTTTTGGTATACTTTACACAATAATTCAACATCTTTCCTTCTTGACATTCTTTGATAAGTTTGTACCACAGATTCTGTCTATTAACGAAGTCAAAAGCTTTTTTGTAATCAATAAAACAGCAAACAGTCTTTTTCTATTTTTCAAGTGTGTGTAATACAAATAAAGCGTCAATAGTTGATAAATTCTTAATAAAAACTGAGCATCACTTGATTTAGAAAAGTCACTATCGAAATTAGCATTTAGAAATTATGTAAAAAAAATCCCTAAACAACTTACTAAAGTAATTCCTCTGAAATTATCGGTATCGTTCTTGTCTCCTTTCCTAGAAATAGGAATTGTATTACCTACCGACCATGATGTAGCGAGATGTAGTGGTTTACATGCACCTGTAGATAACGGTGGCCTTTATATAGATAAAAAAAAACTGTTGATAGGAATCCATCCGGCATTCATTCATATATATATTTATTTGGAGTAAATGTCATATATCCGTTGGCTATACTAAGATTTATCTTTATGTAAAAAATCCCGAATAAAATGCAAATGTAATTGAATGAGCTGGATAGCCATTCAATTTAAACTAAATAATTTCATGGGAATGCAGATTTGTAAACAAAACTTTAAATTCGCACGGCATGTTTTGGTAACATTACACCCCTTTCGACACACTTAAAAACAATGTCTTTTGAACTTAAAACACGCATGTTCGACCATGGATAAAAGTTCGAGTAATGCTTTAGTGACGCTTAGTGGCGTTACATATATGTACTGGTTTTATCAATAACACCGATTTAAAATCGACCTTTGCAGTTCATCTATACACGTTGTGGGTTTTTAAATCCATTCTATTTATAGCCGTAAGTCCTGCTATATCCAGGCCTAGTCGAGGCCTGTAATATGATGCTAGGAAACTCGAGATAGCAGCCTATTTGTTAAATAATCCATTTCGTCCTGATATAATATTCAATTTCTACACGGATAAGACCTTATCGGTATATGTCTCCTGTATACTGTACGGAATAAATCATATTATATAGAATGTACCTGATTATAACACTTTGGTTCTGTAACTTTGGTTAGAGATTACACACAGGATAAACAGATATGTAACGAGAACAATTCTGAGATTATCCAGTTCTAACTTTTCAAATATGTTTCTCTGGGATTTTTTATCATTGCAAACTGTCAAATTATTCCCATATTTATAACATATACTTAACTTGACATTGCGTTAAACTTGACAAGTATTTTATAAGATTTAGTTAACTTCTTGTAAAAACAAAATGAAAGAACTTGAACTGTTCTGTCCTGGACGATCATTGAGGGACTTGGCCCATATATTACGTTTTAACCGTGTTTTACACCTCCCTATGATGAGACATGTCGCCGAGGCGTTTGTCTAAGGACGATCGTGGCTTTCCGTCCTCTCGGGGACCTTCGACGACTAATTTGTTTTTGGGATAATAAAGTTGCAATATTAATTAAGGTGATTCAGTACACTTGCACTGAGTAAGGTTGAGGGCATGAACATTCTGTAACCACCCCTCATCATATGGGTTGATTAGAAAGATTTGTTAATGGAGAGTATCAGACACATTATCAGCTGAAAACAAAACCTGAAATTATTTCAATTAAAGTATGTGATTTTGTAAATTCGGATCATTTACCCGAAATGCATTTTTTTGTCAAATACCTGTATAAGAATCATTTTAACAACGGTTTATCTATGTTGTGTTTATCTATGTTGTGCCGCGCTTGGTTTTGATGAAATTATCAAAATTGTTTAAACGGTGCATACAGAAGTCGAACCACACAAAATGTATATTTCAAATCCAAGAAATTTTTCGTCCCAATTATGCAATCCTGGCACAACGTAGATACACATTATTAGGATGATATTGCTTAACGTATTTGACAAAAGTTATTTTACTTAAACTATCTAAATGGTTTTGGTATATGCAATTATCAATGGAATTATAATATTTTTTGTTTAAATTGCTGTTGGTTATGTTTTTAGTACAAATAATTGATTATTGTTTGTTTTATTACTCGGCACATGTGCCCTGAAGCATTTTTGAAAATGCAAGCAAAAAATCCAAACAAATATCAGGGTAAATTTTCTTGAAAGCATATGACTTTATGTTGTGATATTTCTCCGGCTAGGTGGACACGGACCGGAACGGGGTAATCCGGCCCCGGACTCTCATTTAACACTCGTGTACCGTTACACGTAACCGTTATAGCTCAGTCTACCTGTATAGGTGAGGGTACGTACGCGTTCTCGACGTCACAGATACGGGTCACTTGTCAGGAGATTACACATTGACCATAAACACGTGGACCGAGAGACAGAGTGACAAAGTGTCCGAAGGATAAATACCAGCTGACCATGGGGACACGATCTGTGCTACATTAACTGGTAAGTCAGTAATTGTATAGTACTATGAGTATAACATGTGTTTTACTGGGGCCGTACCTATATGGCTCTATACGGTAAAGGCGGCGATTTAAACCCCGTTATATACTCACACAGGTGTCCAGAGGAAACAGGTGTGTCAAGTATAACAGGTGTGTCAAGTGTCAAGTATAACAGGTGTGTCAAGTATAACAGGTGTGTGGTGATCACGTATCACTAATATCAGCAACATAATTGAGTACAAATACAATGTGAGTATAACTTTATAATAATTTAAACTAGACTTTGTCTAACTAAGTTGAAACATTAAGTTTTTGTCCATTGAGTAATGCTGTTCGTCATTGTATTGGAGCATTCCTCGTGATATTTATTAATTTTGAGGATGTCATGAGGCTCATGCCCCGAGTAACGCCAATACATGTAGTCCCTCATGCCCCGAGTATCACCAATACATGTAGTCCCTCATGCCCCGAGTATCACCAATACATGTAGTCCCTCATGCCCCGAGTATCACCAATACATGTAGTCCCTCATGCACCGAGTATCACCAATACATGTAGTCCCTCATGCCCCGAGTATCACCAATACATGTAGTCCCTCATGCCCCGAGTATCACCAATACATGTAGTCCCTCATGCACCGAGTATCACCAATACATGTAGTCCCTCATGCAGGGCACCAATACAATATACATTTTATATAACTGATACTTACTCTCGTGTGTACCGAGGACACTCCACATCCTGAAAGACATATATAGCTAAATATTGCTGTGTAACATTCGGTTATATATGTACTTTAAAGTGTTCACTGTTGATAATGCAGAGTTGTACGTATGTTTTCATATTTTAATTTTTATGGCAGTGCAATAAAACTTAACTCACTAGTACTGTCAACACAAATTATTGTTTGACAGCAGGTAGCTAAGCTAACTGAACGACATAGCGTGTAGGAAATATACTGCTCGCGTTCTGTCGTACGTGCATCTTTACCGATGACCGACACTGACCATTGCAGACCCACGACCTAATCCTAGTGTAAACACTGTCAGTACATAAACGGCTAGCATTGTAATGGAGATTGTATAGAAATACAGTTAAGAAGGCTGTTAAGTTTATGTACCCGGCCCATACTACTCAGTAATTCTACTCACATGTGTTCCACTAGCCAATGGTTGTGAAAACCACACTATGAAGCGTTACAGACAGACAAATCAATCTGCTACTGAAATGCGTTCATTCATTCTATTACGTCTCTATCACAGCGATGTCGTATTATTTTTCAATTCAGAGCTTTTCTATTTCATACCAACCGTATTGAGTAATTTGATTCTGACCTCAGCACGCGGTGCAGTGCCAATGGGACACCGATTTAAATCCGGCGCGCTATTTACCTAGCGAGGGACCGTTATGTCACGAAATGTAAACATGTGATCGATAGGGAGTTACATCTGATTTTGAATTTAATAACAGGCTATCGGAGTGTTATCTCGTACTGCAGGGTCAGGTTGTGTCAGCTTGTACACCGCTAGTGTAGGTGTGGTGACGGCCTATCCCACAACTCTACCGCAACATATCATACTTACCAACATTTTTAAATTTTCACGGGGGACATTCTGGATGCTCAAAATCAAAACATAAATTAAATGTGTGTAATTCCCGTTAAAGACAAAATAGCCCTTTAAAATGCCATAATTACGGGAATCTCCCTCCTACATTGGACTGTTTTTTAAATGATAAGGATTTTAAGATACAGTAGCTGTGGTTTTGTGTTTCGTACAGGGCCTAACAGTCTGGCTAGCTTCCTTACACCCCTGACATGATGAGGGGCATCTTACCAAACCTGACATGATGAGGGGCTGACAGTAGGGGTATCTTACCAAACCTGACATGATGAGGGGCTGACAGTAGGGGTATCTTACCAAACCTGACATGATGAGGGCCTGACAGTAGGGGTATCTTACCACCCCTGACATGATGAGGGCCTGACAGTAGGGGTATCTTACCACCCCTGACATGATGAGGGCCTGACAGTAGGGGTATCTTACCACCCCTGACATGATGAGGGCCTGACAGTAGGGGTATCTTACCACCCCTGACATGATGAGGGCCTGACAGTAGGGGTATCTTACCATCCCTGACATGATGAGGGCCTGACAGTAGGGGTGTATTACCACCCCTGACATGATGAGGGCCTGATAGTAGGGGTATTCAACTACCCCTGACATAACGAGGGCCTGACAGTAGGGGTGTCTTACCATCCCTGACATGATGAGAGGCTGACAGTAGGGGTATCTTACCACCCCTGACATGATGAGGGCCTGACAGTAGGGGTATCTTACCACCCCTGACATGATGAGGGCCTGACAGTAGGGGTATCTTACCACCCCTGACATGATGAGGGCCTGACAGTAGGGGTATCTTACCACCCCTGACATGATGAGGGCCTGACAGTAGGGGTATCTTACCACCCCTGACATGATGAGGGCCTGACAGTAGGGGTATCTTACCACCCCTGACATGATGAGGGCCTGACAGTAGGGGTATATTACCACCCCTGACATGATGAGGGCCTGACAGTAGGGGTATCTTACCATCCCTGACATGATGAGGGCCTGACAGTAGGGGTATCTTACCACCCCTGACATGATGAGGGCCTGACAGTAGGGGTATCTTACCACCCCTGACATGATGAGGGCCTGACAGTAGGGGTATCTTACCACCCCTGACATGATGAGGGCCTGACAGTAGGGGTATCTTACCACCCCTGACATGATGAGGGCCTGACAGTAGGGGTATCTTACCACCCCTGACATGATGAGGGCCTGACAGTAGGGGTATCTTACCACCCCTGACATGATGAGGGCCTGACAGTAGGGGTATCTTACCACCCCTGACATGATGAGGGCCTGACAGTAGGGGTATCTTACCACCCCTGACATGATGAGGGCCTGACAGTAGGGGTATCTTACCACCCCTGACATGATGAGGGCCTGACAGTAGGGGTATCTTACCACCCCTGACATGATGAGGGCCTGACAGTAGGGGTATCTTACCACCCCTGACATGATGAGGGCCTGACAGTAGGGGTATCTTACCATCCCTGACATGATGAGGGCCTGACAGTAGGGGTGTATTACCACCCCTGACATGATGAGGGCCTGATAGTAGGGGTATTCAACTACCCCTGACATAACGAGGGCCTGACAGTAGGGGTGTCTTACCATCCCTGACATGATGAGAGGCTGACAGTAGGGGTATCTTACCACCCCTGACATGATGAGGGCCTGACAGTAGGGGTATCTTACCACCCCTGACATGATGAGGGCCTGACAGTAGGGGTATCTTACCACCCCTGACATGATGAGGGCCTGACAGTAGGGGTATCTTACCACCCCTGACATGATGAGGGCCTGACAGTAGGGGTATCTTACCACCCCTGACATGATGAGGGCCTGACAGTAGGGGTATCTTACCACCCCTGACATGATGAGGGCCTGACAGTAGGGGTATATTACCACCCCTGACATGATGAGGGCCTGACAGTAGGGGTATCTTACCATCCCTGACATGATGAGGGCCTGACAGTAGGGGTATCTTACCACCCCTGACATGATGAGGGCCTGACAGTAGGGGTATCTTACCACCCCTGACATGATGAGGGCCTGACAGTAGGGGTATCTTACCACCCCTGACATGATGAGGGCCTGACAGTAGGGGTATCTTACCACCCCTGACATGATGAGGGCCTGACAGTAGGGGTATCTTACCACCCCTGACATGATGAGGGCCTGACAGTAGGGGTATCTTACCACCCCTGACATGATGAGGGCCTGACAGTAGGGGTATCTTACCACCCCTGACATGATGAGGGCCTGACAGTAGGGGTATCTTACCACCCCTGACATGATGAGGGCCTGACAGTAGGGGTATCTTACCACCCCTGACATGATGAGGGCCTGACAGTAGGGGTATCTTACCACCCCTGACATGATGAGGGCCTGACAGTAGGGGTATCTTACCACCCCTGACATGATGAGGGCCTGACAGTAGGGGTATCTTACCATCCCTGACATGATGAGGGCCTGACAGTAGGGGTGTATTACCACCCCTGACATGATGAGGGCCTGATAGTAGGGGTATTCAACTACCCCTGACATAACGAGGGCCTGACAGTAGGGGTGTCTTACCATCCCTGACATGATGAGAGGCTGACAGTAGGGGTATCTTACCACCCCTGACATGATGAGGGCCTGACAGTAGGGGTATCTTACCACCCCTGACATGATGAGGGCCTGACAGTAGGGGTATCTTACCACCCCTGACATGATGAGGGCCTGACAGTAGGGGTATCTTACCACCCCTGACATGATGAGGGCCTGACAGTAGGGGTATCTTACCACCCCTGACATGATGAGGGCCTGACAGTAGGGGTATCTTACCACCCCTGACATGATGAGGGCCTGACAGTAGGGGTATATTACCACCCCTGACATGATGAGGGCCTGACAGTAGGGGTATCTTACCATCCCTGACATGATGAGGGCCTGACAGTAGGGGTATCTTACCACCCCTGACATGATGAGGGCCTGACAGTAGGGGTATCTTACCACCCCTGACATGATGAGGGCCTGACAGTAGGGGTATCTTACCACCCCTGACATGATGAGGGCCTGACAGTAGGGGTATCTTACCACCCCTGACATGATGAGGGCCTGACAGTAGGGGTATCTTACCACCCCTGACATGATGAGGGCCTGACAGTAGGGGTATCTTACCACCCCTGACATGATGAGGGCCTGACAGTAGGGGTATCTTACCACCCCTGACATGATGAGGGCCTGACAGTAGGGGTATCTTACCACCCCTGACATGATGAGGGCCTGACAGTAGGGGTATCTTACCACCCCTGACATGATGAGGGCCTGACAGTAGGGGTATCTTACCACCCCTGACATGATGAGGGCCTGACAGTAGGGGTATCTTACCACCCCTGACATGATG